TTCATAGGTTTTCGATTCACTTCAAGAACGATTTTTGCAAATTCACAACGATTCGATTCGATTCACAATTCAATTCGATTCGATTAACGATTTGATTCTGCATTCTTTAAGTGCATTCACAGGATTATTTAAATGCTTCCCCTAAATTCTTTAAATGCTTAGTCAGGGGGCAAATTACACAGGAACCTTTATGGTTACAGAAACATAGGTTAGAGAAAATAAAACACTTTTGTCTATTGTTAGATGCAAGTTTAATGATGATATGGCATGACATGGCATATGAAGAAATTTATGTAAGCCAAGATTTTAAAAAAGAGCTTTAAATGTATTATATAGGCTAACATTTTGTCACACCAGGGGCGTAGCCACCATTTCAGACGTGACAGAAATGTCAAATACAATAATTTTATGTATGTATGTATTATTATTTCTTTTATTTTTTTTCAAGGAATTCTTTTCTTATCTCTTACTTTGAATTTGCTATAAGAAATCAAATACACTGCTGGACAATAATCAATCATTTGCTAATGGCAATTTTATGATTGTTTTATTTATTACAAACAATTCTATCAATTTTCTGCACAGATTAAGGTAGAAAATATCATTTCTAGTTTCTGTACTGTAATAAATGATATGTCAATTAGCACATTTTATGATTGTTTTATATACTACAAACAATTATTTCAATTTTCTGCACAGAATAAGGTAAAAAAAATATATATATATATATATATACTTTTATAGTTTCTGTAGGCTACTGTAATAAGTTATATGTCAATTAGCGCTGCATCATTCATACATTGTATTTATTTATTGTGTTTATTGTCTTAACGTTTCAGTTCATTCTGCTTTTTATACAGTTTAGCTGCAGATATAGCCTGGCACGTCTATGAGCGCGAGATCACTTCTCCTTCAGTGCGAAAACTTCTTTATCTAATTTTCATAAAATAAAATGCTATATATAGCCTATTTAACTTTTCTTCTCCATCGGCGAATGATGATTCTGAAAGAAAACGCGCCCGAAATATGTTTGCTATAGCAACGAACGCTACTTTCATGCATCTGATTATCAGATAAACCTCGCGCTCTTATTTCAAGGTTGTTGTTAATGCTGTGGTTATTTTAATAGTTTCCTTCGTACATTCGGTTGACGGTCATTGTTAAAACACATTTATCATTCAATGGAACTGTGCGTATGCTTTAGACACTTACATTTTTGCTCCGTAAATGCGCAGCCTTCGACTGCTCAGGTAATGTCGTCGTCGGTATGACCGAGAGCCATTGAA